CCTCGGCGCGGGGCGAGGCTGGGGCGTGCGGGGCGCGGGCGGCTGATGGGGCTGCCTTGCAGAACGTGGGCTGCGACTACGAGATCGACTCCAACGCGGTGGAAGACCGGTGCGGCGTCTGCCACGGCGACGGCTCCACCTGCCACACCATCGAGAAGACCTTTGAGGACAGCGAGGGGCTGGGTAAGGGCGCTCGGCTCCATCCCCGAAGCACTGAGTGCCTGTTCCGCTCGGAGCCGGGCTCGCTGCTGCTGCTCATTTGCAGGGTGGTTTTTAATCACGACTTGCTGGTTTGGATGGGGTGAGACCCGAGCAGCACCCTGGGGAGACGTGGCGTTGCCGTTCCACTTCTTGCTCGTTGGAAGAAAAATACCCCCATGCTGCTCTTTGTGTCTAAAAGCCTGAAAACAAATCTGTGCATGCTGGAGCCAGCATGGTGAGGCTTCAGGGGATTTTGTGGGTTGACAAGGACATGTTGAAAATGTGGTAAATGCCTTGCCAGCACCCAGGTGGGAAGTGTCTCACTCTGCGATGGGCTCTCCCAGCGGGGAACGCAGCTGGGCTCGGCGCAAGGTGGGGTTTGGTGCCCACTGGTGCCTTATGGAGGTGTAAGGATTGGCATGATGCTGGCACCCACCCAAGGGTGCGGATCATCTCTGCCACGTCTTTGGATCCCCCAAGACCAACCCTTGGTTCCATTCCCAGGTTACGTCGATATCGGGATTATCCCCGTGGGAGCCCGGGAGATCCGCATTGAAGAAGTCGCAGAAGCCGGGAATTTTCTGGCGCTGCGGAGTGAGGACCCGGAGAAGTATTTCCTGAACGGCGGCTGGCCAGTGGAACGGGGACTACAGGGTGGCGGGGACTACCTTCACCTACAAGAGGACGGGGAACTGGGAGAACCTCACCTCCCCGGGGCCCACCGTGGAGCCCGTGTGGATCCAGGTACAGCGCGAGATCTGCTGGTGGTCGGGCTGTGTGGCGGGGAGGACCTGGGGGAGAGAGCCGCCCGCTCTCCTGCAGCTAGAAATGTCAAGTTGTACTCTTTTGTATGGGAATTTGTATTAAGCTGCTTTCCTCCCCAGAATAAGTTGCTATTTTTCATTAGGCCCCTGAGGCTTTGAGGAGGCAAGCCCTGTCGCAGAGCGATGCTGCCTGGCATCGGCTGTGGCAACCAGGGCAGGGGAGGGCACCCAGGACGTGCCGCTCTGCCCACCTGGGTCTGCGCAGGAGAGGTTACAATTAACCACATAGTCCAAAAAAAGCAATACATTTTTTAAAAAATGTCTCATTGCAGCAGTACGTTTCCAGGCTGGCAGTCGCAGGCAGGACAGCATCTGCCTGGCTCCTGCTCGCGTCAGGCGTTGCCTGCAGCAGGCAGCCCTCGAGCCGAGCACACGCTGGGGGAGCAAATAACGAGCTTTGGGGTTAGTTACTTCGGTGTGAAGCTGCTCGCCCTAACGGTCCCTTTGCCCCCGGGTCGGCAGGAGAGTCTCCGTCTTCGCCCCCACCATGGCAGCACGCGTTGGCTTCCCCGTCGCTGGGAGGTTGTTCGTGGTTTCTGAAAGCAAATTTACTTCCCCAGGCTTGCGCAGCTGCCCAGGGGCTGGTCTGGCTCCGAGCCCCTTCTGTGCTCGAATTCCCACCTGGGGCACCCTGCAAATGCTTTTAATATGAATCCAACCCCACTGTCGCTAATCCCCTCCTCCGCTGCAGCAGCGGCAGCTCACCGGCTTATCTGGAAATTGCCTTATTTTACAAACCAGTCCTACTCTATTTATTTTCACCTTATATCCATGAAAAGGAGTTGCCTGGGGGATTGCTTTTCGGCATGGCTTTATACTTCAGTGAGCTTTGCACAGCTTTGCAGGGGTTATAACTGTGGGTGGGGAGGGCGGTGGGAGGCAGCGCGGTGTGGGGGGCTGCAGAGCTGCCCGCTGCTGCCGCCGTGCCTGGGTCTGCCATTCCCGGCCCCGGGCG